CTGAATTTAATTGCAACATTTTGCATTAATTAAATTTCTTTACCTTCCATGGAATTAGGGCTTGAACTCGGTATGTAAATTTATGCAAATAAGCGTGCAAATCAGCAAGACCCCAGCATTTAATTTTAAGGGAACTAGGGCACTTTCCAAGACCAGGCAAGGGAAGGGGGAGGTTGTGGTAGGGGGAATTAAATGCAAGTGGTCTTTCCGAATATTTCACTCGCTCTGAAGGAGCTGGGGCAGAGATTCTTTTGTGGCAGCTAGCTTCTGCTAAGTGACCCTGTCATTCGGCTCATCCAACTGGTATTCTTACTGGTTTTCATTCAGCTGTCTAAAGGCAAGGGGCTCCGCACCCTTCAGCTAGCAATAAAAAATTGCTATACCAAAACACTTTATTCTCATACTCTTTCCTCTGACCTCCCTATCAAACCAGGCATGCAAGCAGAGGGAGGAGGGAGGGAGGGAGGGAGGGAGGAAAGGAAGGAAGGGAGGGAGGGAGGGAGGAAGGGAGGGAGGGAGGGAGGGAGGGAGGGAGAAGAGGAGGGAGGGAGGGAGGGAGGGAGGGAGGAGAGAGAGGAGGGATGGAAGAAGGGAAGGAGGGAGGGAGGAAGGGAAGGAGGGAGGGAGGGAGAGAGGGAGGGGCAGGCTGGCTCAGAGAAGTCTCCAAAAACCCTGGTTTTACTCAATACTTCCACACACTTTCATTCTCTCTTATGCATCACTGATCATTATCATCCTCTTCTCCCACTTTTTAAAAACTGTGGTGACCCAATGGAATACTACACAGCCATTAAGAAAAATGAAAGTAAAGGAATTTGCTTACACATGGATGGACATGGAGAGTGTTATGTGAGTGAAGTGAGTCACAAGGAAAGGGACAGACATAGACTGATTGCACTCATTTGAGGGATATGAGAACACACAGTATAAGAATAATGAAAGACCGTAGAAACGAGAGCCAGGACTGGTCCAGGGTTGGAAGCTTGCCACAAGGGGGCAGGGGGTGGGGAGGGCAGTTAGGATAGAGAAGGGACCGCTATGACAATGACAGTTGGAAAATGATCGCTCTGGACAAGAACTGAGTGCTGGAAGAAGGTAAATGCGTGATACCCTTTCACTAACAGTACTATAAACCACAGGAAATAGAGAGAGAGAGAGAGAGAGAGAGAGAGAGAGAGAGAGAGAGAGAGAGAGAACAGAGACAGACAGGACAGACACACACACACACAGAGACAGAAAAGAGAGAGAGGTATGTGTTGGAACTGAACCCAACCATGAACAACTCTATAACTGTTGAAACTGTGTATCTCTCAGTGATTCCATTCACTGTATCACTGTCATCACTGTCTTCCTGCTGATTCCATTAAAAATAATAATATTTTGGTGACCATGCCACGCAGGTCTCACAGCTAATAAGCACCTGCCCAGAAGTTTGGCCTCCTGGCATTTTTCCTGAGTTCCCCCCGCCCCCAATTAACTCAACTACACCCAGCTCCAAAACATCACTTACTACGGCCCCTTTATCAGGGTGCAGCCCCAGAGATGCCAGACTATGGGCAGAGCACCCGCGCTGCCTGGCAGGCATGGGCAGAAGCGTGGCCCTCCATGGACAGGTCCGAGGGTGGTCTGCGTCAGTCCCAGACACCTGGGTGACCCTGGAGCGTGAGCTCATCACTCAGGCTGGTTGTCCTGAGCATAGCCTCCTAGAATTCCTCTCTCAAGAGACTGGGGACAGACTTCCAAATGGGACAAGAGTCTTGGCCTAAGGAACCCAAGACTGCAAAGACCGGGAAGCAGCAGGCCACCTTCCAAATTCTGATGCGTGCGTGCTCTTTTAAAAGAAAAAAAGGAGGAGGAGTTCCAGATTGTACTTGAATTCTCCCGGGAAGGGGAAGAAGGGCTGGGGCAGGGGTTGGAGGAGAGGACCTGGCAGGTGCGTGGGGAGGTGGCTTGGGAGGGGACGAGGGTGACGGGACGCAGGACGGGAGATGAGGGACGAACCATGCGATGGGCACTCGGAGGGATGGAAAATGGGGATGGAAACGGGGCACATGATCTGATTCGCAACTCCGGCAGACGTCGCACGGGGCCTGAGGGGCTGCAGAGCCGACGGCGGCGGGGATGGGGGTCAAGCCGAGCGCCCTGGGCGGTGGTCCAGGGCCGGCGGCACCTCGTGGCCACACAGCAGGGCGCGCGCCAAGGGGGGTTCGGGGCACAGACTTGGGGTCCGGGAAGATCCGAGCCAGCCAGGACCGGACCAATCGGAGCCTCCAGGGCGGTGGGCCCCCAGCCCGACGTCGGGGCGGGGTGGGGGTGGGGGCGGGGGTGGGGGTGGGGGGAGAGACGGGAAGCGGCCACGCCCCGGGCGGAGGACCCCCGGGCCCCTCGGGGCCAGGGCCCGCCGCCGGGAGCGTTGGGAGGAATCCGACGAGCCAGGCGCGCCCCTCCCCGCGGGCCGGCCACGGCCTCGGCGCGCCCCCCGGCCCCGCCGCGCGCTCACCCGGATGCCCTGCAGCACCCGGACGCGCTCCTCCTCGTCCATGCCGAAGGACACCCTGCGGGCCTCGCTGCTCTCGATGCTCCCCATGGCCGGAGGCGGGCGGACAGACCGGCTCCCGGAGCAACCGGACAGACGCCGGGTGGCGGTGGCCCCGGCGTGCGCGCTTCTTCCGGGCGCAGCGGCACGAGCCAAAAAACTCGCGCCTGATTGGCCGCCGGCCCAGCGCCAGCCAATCAGATGGCGCGGGTGGCGCGGGGCATTGTGGGGACTGTAGTCTTTGCGGCGCGGGGCTTGGCTGTTAGCTGCGAGGGCAGGGAGGCGTGGTGCCCACGCCGGGGAACGCGTGCTGGACCCCAGCAAGGAATGGGGAGATTAACCGAGTCTCGAGTGGCGGGGTGTGCGCCAGGGTCGGGCGCTCGCTTTGGAAGAGAAGTTTCTTTTTTTTTGAGGGGGGGGTCGGGATGATACTACACCCGGTAGGACGCTTGCCTTGCACGTGGCTCAGCCGGGTTCCATCCCGGCACCCCATATGGTCCCCTGAGCCCACCAGGAGTGATCCCTGGAGCACAGAGGTAAGAGTAAACCCCGAGCACCGCTGTGTCTGAACCAAAAAGCCTAAATAAATAGATATTTTGGAAACAAAAGTCTGGGGTGATGTTCTGAGACCAAGTGGCCACCAGGGAGGCTGAGCGGGTCACATGGAAGCAATGAATGGCTCTTCACTCATTCAGCAAAGTGGTATCGCTGTCACTTTCCAGCAAGCAGAGACCTCGCCCTAGAGAACACAAAGATAAACTGGGTTTAATTGTAATGAAGGAGGGGGTTGAGGAGGCAAATAAACTCATTAACCGCTATAAATTATCATCAATGAAAACTTTCACCACCGTGATACCATGAGAAATTAACAAAAGGCCTCTGTTAATCTGACAGATCAGAGGAACTTCTTCGAAGAAACACATCAGGCCTGAATGCGGCCAGTGAGTGGTAGAGTACTCACCTGGTATGTGTAAGATCGTGGGTTCAGTTCCTGGTGCCTACCCACCTCCCCAGTAAAAAAAGGAAAAGAAGAGAAGGAGCTATAGTTCAGACGATAGAGTACTTGCCTTGTATGTGGCCAACCCAAGTTCCATCTCTAGCATCCCATATGATCCCCAAACTCCATCAGGATTGACCCTTGAGAGCAAAGCCAGAAGTAACCCCTGAGTATCACCAGGTGTACCCCGTCTCCCCCAACCCCCCCAAAAAAAATCACTGTCACTGTCACTGTCCTCCCGTTGTTCATTGATTTGCTCAAGCAGGCCCAGTAACATCTCCATTGTGACACTTGTTACTGTGTTTGGTATATTGAATACTTCATAGGTAGCTTGCCAGGCTTTGCCATGCGGGCCAGATACTCTTGGTAGCTTGCCGGTCTCTCCGAGAGGTGCAGAGGAATCGAACCTGGGTCGGCCAGGCCGGCCTCATGCAAGGCAAACGCCCTACCCACTGTGTTATTGCTCCAACCCCTCCCCCCCCAAAAAATAAAGAAAACATTTTTTAAAAGAAGATGCTTTTGAATTGAGACAAGTAGAGTCCATCAGGAAAACAAGGCAGAAAAATTTTGCTGGAAACATACTCAGGCAGGAAAGGTCTTGACACACTGAAGGAAGAAGGGAAGTGACAAGGGATCCCAGGACCAGCCAAGGAACCCAGATCATTAGACTTTTGCAGCCCAGAGCTTTAGTCTAAATGCCTTAGGAGGACAATGAACAGTCCCAAGTGTTCAGCAGGCTGTCTCTAAGGAACGTCGCAGCATGCATGGGACATGGCGTTGCCAAGCGCTGAGTTCATGATTGGCAAGGAGAGGTTACATAAGGAGGAGCGTATAAGTAAGGATCATATCCAGTAAGATCCTATCATACTCAGCATATAAATAAGGATCCAGGGTGACCTGGAATGAAGACTCCCATTTGTTTCATCTGAGTTGCTTCAGGGTTTTGCCAAAGAAAGCATTTGACTGAGTTTGCAATCTGGGTCCGGGAAACACTGGGTTGGGACATAAAAGAGGAAGAGGTTTTTGGAGTCATGGGGAAAGGAAGGCAGAGGAGGGAAAAGTGAAGGTGCAAGATCAGACAGTCTGACAATATGTGAAGCAACCGGAGAACATTCCAGAAGTGGGGTGGCCCAAGAAGCTTCATGAACAAGAACATCCGCTCATTTAATTCAAAATACAATTGACCCGTGAGGGGGCCAGAGTGATAGTACAGTGAGTAGGATACTTGTCTTGCAGGCTGCCAACCCGGGTTCAATCCCCAGAGCCAAAATGGAGTGAATAAACCCTGCCACAGCGTCAGAAGAAAGACCTGAACACAGAAGGCACGGCCCCAAAACAAGCAAACAAAGTACAGCTGACCTTTGAGGGTATCAGAGAAATAGTCCAGAGAGTAGAGTATTTGCTTTGCATACAGCTAACCTGCGTTAGAACCCCTGTAGCACATATGGTGTTCTGAGCCCCACCAAATGCCATCCTTAAGTGCAAAGCCAGCAGGAAGCCCAGGGCACAGCTGGGTGTATGTGGCCAAAAAAAAAAAAAAAAAAAGAAAATACAGTTGACCTTTGAGCCAGTTGGAGCCCAGGGATAAATTGGCAAATCCTCATGTAACTTACCATTGGCCTTCCACATGTATGAGTGCCAGGCAACACTACCAACTACCGCCAAGGGTGACTGGGCCTCCTCCCTGCCCTAGAGGAATGGATTCTGCGATACATGCTTTATTGGGGGTGGGGTGTCTCAGAAGAAAGGAAGGAAAGGACCAGGAACAAAGGGGTGGGAAGAAACCCAGTAAAGATGCTATGAGCAGGACACTGACTCCAGCTGACCCCGGGGTGGTTCTAGAGCTCAGAACCCATCGCCAATGCACTCTGCTCTAAGACAAAAGGACAGGATGGTCATCACTTCCCCTCGTGCTGCTAGTAGCCCAAGACAGTCCTCAAGGAAAGAGCATTAAGGATCTTTGGACAGCGGGTAGGGGGTTTGCCTGACCCAAGTTCAATTCCCAGCACCCTATATGGTCCCCCGAGCACCACCAGGAGTAATTCCTGAATGCAAAGCCAGGAATAATCCCTGTGCATTGCCGGGTTTGACCCCAAAAGCAGGAAAAAAGAAAAAGGATCTTTGGACAATGCCCATCCCCCCATCCACTGCAGCAGTGGGGTGCCCTCCAGCCTGAAAATAGGTTTCCAGTACTAGGATTCTCCCAAACTCCCAGATGTCTCCTGTGCTTGTGTTTGAGGAGAGGAGGAGAGAACAGGGTCTAAATCTTGAAGCAACTGTTGCGTTTCACCTCTGGGTCAGAGAGTGAAATTACTCACACATGATAAAATAATGGACTAATTCAGCAGAACCAAATTCAAACCACGCAGGGGGTGGGGGAGGCAAGAGAAGCCGTGTATTCCTACACACACACAGACTCCCCCAGAGCTCACACACTGTGAACCCACTCAGTGTATCTATGACTGTGGAGCGACTTGGTCTTTAGAAGGGACACTTTGGAACCAGGACGGAGGCTGGGTTGAAGTGGGAAACTGTGTGTGTGTGTGTGTGTGTGTGTGTGTGTGTGTGTGTGTGTGTGGTCTCTCTTACACTGGCCTCTGCAGGAGCACACAGGGAAGGGAAAGGCAGGTGGGGTAGAAAAAGAATTTTGCTATGCCTATTTTAAAAACCAAGAGGACCCAAAGACATGGAGAAGGAACCACTAAGTAAACGATGGTTGGAGGAATCGCCTGGGATGGGAGATGCTTGCTGAAAGTAGACCAAGGACCAAACATGTTGACCTCTTGGTGTCTGTATTGCAAATCATAACACCCCAAATTAGAGAGAGAGTAAGAAGGATTGTACCTGCCATAGAAGCAGGGGGTAGGATGGGGTGGGGGTGGCGGGAGGGACATTGGGAACAATGGTGGTGGAAAATGTGCACTGGTGGAGGGATGGGTGCTCGAGCATTGTATGACTGAAATGTAATCATGAAAGTTTGTAACTGTATCTCATGGTGATCCAATGAAACTTATTATAAAAAAAAACCCCAAAGACAGTAAAAGAGAGGGCGAGGAGGCCTGGTCCATGGTTGGAAGCTTGTCACCAAGTGGGAGGGGGAGGGCAGTTAGGACAGAGAAGGGACCACTGGGACAATGGGAGTTGGAAATGATCACTCTAGACAAGAACTGAGTGCTGAGAGGAGGTAAAGGGAGATGCATGATGTCCTTTCAGTAACATAAACCACAGAGAGAGAGAGAGAGAGAGAGAGAGAGAGAGAGAGAGAGAGAGAGAGAGGTGTCTGGCATATAGGCAGACTGACGGGGGGGGGGCGGGGGGGACGGAGGGAAGGGAACCAGGGACACTGGTGGTGGGAACCTCCTATGACTTAAACTCAATTATGAACAACTTTGTTACTGTGTATCTCACAGTGATTCAGTTTTTTAAAAAAGCATACAAAATAAAGGAGAGGCCAGTGAGATTATAGCAGGCGAGAGGCTTACCTTGAACACAGCTAGCTGACCTGGATTAAATCCCTGGTGTCACTTTTGGTCCCCTGAGTACCTCCAGGAGTAACCTGTGAGCACAGAGTCATGAGAAAAGCCAGGTATGACCCAAACTTCTCCCCATCAAAAAAAAAAAAATCATAGAATGTGTGGGTGGGGTGAGGGTACAGCCCAGGTGCCCCCCCGCCCCGCCCCAGATGGTCTCCCAGGCATCACCAGCCATGGCCATGATGAGGAAACAGTCCACAGCCCACATTTCAAACAGACTCACACACCAGAGAGCTGAGTTGGGGCCCCGGCATAACCATGGCGTGCATTCAGGGTGTCCTTGAGACAGCACAATCTCACTTTGTAACCCCCGCGAATGTCTTGCCAGTCTGCACCCGTCCTGGAGATGTTCTTCCTGGCTTTGCTGCTGACAGACTTGAGAACTGCTACTTCTGTGCCTCTTGCCCGCCAGCGGCCCACACAGGGCCCAGCCCACCTCAGAAAGTCTGTAAAATGGAACTCTTGCTCCTCTCCTTGGCCCAGTCTTCCAAGTACAGGCTCAGCTGAATCCATTCGTGTCAGAAACCTGAGTCCTCCCAGCTCCTGTTTATTTGCTTGTTTGGTTGATTGCTTGGTTTTTGGTTCGGGGGCCACACCTGACAGTGCTCAGGGGTTACTCCTGAT